AACTTAGTAAACTGTTTAAGTTATGTCTTCTAATGTCTGAACAGGATGTGGGGAGGTGTTTCCTCTGGTGTGATGAGTTAAGACACCCCACTTTACCATGGTGGCTTAATTGAAATTATCTATTTCACATTAAGTTTTAATCTTTCAAACAGAATGATGAGAAGCACACAAATGTCAGCTTGGGAGGTGTAACCCTTCTACCCCACCACACACTCACCCTCTCAAATCTTGAAGTCTCACAGTAATGCAGTTTTTCCCACCTCCATGTTTTAGAAACCTATTGAATAGTTAGTATGTTGTACAATAAGTAGTAGCTAGACATTATGGGGAACAAATGCAGGGGAAGGGGAATACTACAGCTGATTCTCACAGATTGTCACTTGAGGTCAAGTGAAACAATAACACTTGTTACAGAAAAAGTTGTGTATGAGTTGGTAAGTAATACTGTTTCAAAGGACGTCACCTTCTAACAATAACTTTTCTTAAATGATGCTAACTTGCACGAAGGACTGGATGGGTGTTTTTAAAACAGCCTTAAAACTGGGAAAGAAATGTGAAGCACTTCAAAGAAACGTTATGCGGAAGCTGACTGCAGTTTCTTAGCAGAAAAGACTGTTAATATTTTGCTACTTAATTTTTATTTTACATGCTAGTGCATAGTTATTGATTTGGAATCCCTAATTATTCTAAGGACTTTTTTTTTTTAGTTTTAATGTGGCCATAGTGTTTTGTGATATGCATTAAACCACCCACCCAACTAACTTCATGAAATGAAATCATCAAGGAATTAATAAGAGGAAAAGAAAGTCTTGTTCAACTTCCACGTGCAGCAGTGGCAGAATTGTGAAATGGAAGTGGCCTGTTCTGGTGCCAGTTTGTATTACAAAATAAAGGGTGTAAATATTTTCTGTTTCAATTTTAAAAGTGGTAGAAAGTAATTAATTTTTGTTCTCATTATTTTGAAAGCTTGTCATTTGGGAGAATGACTGGATGTGCTGGATGTGGTTTTGATATCCTTAGTGACAGATGTTATCTGATACGGATAAAATACTAGATGCTAATGAGTTATAGAAATAGTATGAACCAAGCTTCCCTTGTAGCAACGTTTTACAGGGAGCAAGGTGAGTTTTATGCAATTACATAAAAAGGCTTGCTATTCTTGCACTAAAAATTTTAACGTTGTGGGGTCCAAATACCCCGGCTAGCTAATAGGCGCATGAGTTTTTTTGCACATAGCCCTTCAGTAGACCCACCTATGGGCTTTGGCCAGTGTGTGTCCCCTGAGAAGGCCCCTGTTTGTGGTCTGTCGCTTGTTGAGCAGCCAGCATGCCATGCTTTGTTTACAGTGAAATTTGGCATCTCTGTAACTTGGCAGCCAGTATATTTCCCGAGTGTCCAGAAAGCCAGTAGGATACAGTAGTGTCCACAGTGTCTGAAAGGTGCAGCAAACCACACTTCACAGAAACAATCTTGTGTAATGTATTACCTCAGCTAATGGCAATCCACTGAAGTTCATTTTCATGAGTAGTACAGTGCGTTTTGATTGAACAAGTCCCTCCAGCATTTGACTTAAAATATGATGTTCAGAATATGCAGTATCATGTAGCAGTGTCTTTTCTTCCTCTGATCTAAGACTGTTCACTTCAAAATAGCTTTTAACTGAATCATGAATGCTTTAGGTTTAGTGCATAGAAAGAAATCAAACAATAGAAAATCATGTCAGTGTTTTGATACAGTTACTATTAAATTGCCATAGAAACGACACAAATTGAGGAGTTTTTAAAAGCTCAGAAGGACTAGGTTTTATTTGATCTGCCAGTGGACCAGTGCTTTTTTTCTTGAAATATGGTCAGCTCTAACAACTATGGCACTCACTTGAGAGTACATACGGTGTGCCTCACAGAGTGGTATTGGTGCAAGCTCTACTCTGCGCAGGCACCACTTTCTGAAATGTCACCTCTTTATAAATGTTCCTTCTTTTGCCCATCTCCTGATAAGGCTGTTGTCTCCTTCAGTCTGGTTATTTGGGTTTACAACACAGACTGGAATCTGAAAAATCTTGGTTGTTACAACTGCTCATGTGCTGAGACACATTTGGATTACTCAAGCAAGTCACCTCATGGAATACTCTCCAATGTGTTATATGATGTGGATGAGGAGTCCTGGAGACTTGGGAAGTTTCCAGGTGCCAACACAGTGATCTCTAACTTGTAGACTACGGGTTAGAATGAACTGAAAGACTAACTTGATGTTCTATGAGCACTTAGGACATCAGTGGTAGTTTTGTGTTGGGAAGAGTGAAGACAATAGCAAAATAAACATTTTAAAATATATATATTTGCAAGTCTTAAATTCATTTCCTGCTGTAAATTGGGAAGTCAGTTTGCACTGAACCTGGTGTTGAGATTAGCTCAAAGAGGTGAACAGGCACTGTTTGACTAAAAGAAATTTGCAGAGAGTGTGAATAACGAAACGGGATTATCATATGCACCAGATAGGAAACGATGCTATTGATTATCTTTGTTTTTAAAGAACTTTTCTAGTGTTCAAAAGCAGAGAACAAATTTATCAAAGCTTTGATAAATTTCATTTTAATAGGTAAAGGAAGTGATATATCCAGTTTGTGAAGCAGCAGATAGACTTCAGCTTTACACGCTGATAATTCTCAGAGGTGATACATTTTCCTTTGCACACATTAAAAAAAAAAAACCAAAACCAAAAACCTGCTTAGCTGTGATCTGACTTGTTCAAGAAACAACCTTGCCTGTGCAAAGCTAGTTAACAGGTCAAATGAGATTAGACCTACTCTCTAGAAAATTTCTAAGTCTTTTATTAGAAGTGTGCCTGTCACCTTCAGTTTCCACTGATGAGCAGAGTTTAATCTCGAGCGTGTTGTATCCAACCTGCATTGGATGAGCAGTAGTATGATGAGTAGATTCTGAAGTCCACATGCTCCCTTGGTTATGGTAAAATGCATTCTATGTGCCCATGTCTGTGTTTTAAATAGGATACTCCATATAGCTGATATTGTTTTGACTTAGAAACCATTTTCCTGATTTTACAGATGAAAATGGTTCTTAGTTTTGTAGAACTCCCAGCAGAAATGTATCCTGTATCTATTGATGGTACAAGACAGAAGTCATGGTAAGCTCCTGGATTTGGATGAGTTTCCTAGTAATGTGCAAGATGATAAGTGTTTGAAATCTGATCAGACCTTGAGGAAACTGTTATGTTTGTGAAAAAGTTACAAATTGGCTAAATATTATGTTGACATGAGAAATTCAAGTGTCAGATTTGCTTCAATACTGCTGAACATGAAAATGGGTATTTGTCTTGTTTGAAGAATAAGTTGATGTGAGGAGTGGGTGATTTCTTTGAAATTGTTGTTGTTAGCTAGTTTTTTGTGGTGTTTTGTTTTGGTTTTTTGAGAAAAAGATGTGCTCAGCCTGAAGGTCAAAGGCCATGACTGGCTTGTCTGATTTCAGCTGCTGAACACCTCTGAAAATTATTTCACATCACTGTGAAATCAAAATAAATTGAGCTGTAACGAAGACAGAGCTTTGCTCAGGGTAATTTGCCTACTCCATGGAATGCCACCCCTGAACCCAACAGGCTTTTCTAACTGCTTGCGAGACAACAAAAGACAAACTGAAGATCCAGGCAAAGCTGGGAAGGGAATCTCTTTATCTGTAATCTTTCTTGAATGGGAAAAAGCACAGTTAAATACTTAGTTCTTCTCAAAGACTTCTAAGAAAAACGCTGTGCCTCCATGTTCTATGGAAAGATAGTGAGCCAGAAACAACACCTTCATACAACTATCTGGGTATGCTAGAAATTGTGAATTCACTTGTGAATCCATACTGGCTTCATGGTGTTTAAGAAGGAAAATAAGTAGCTCAAGTCAGCTAAACTCTCCATCTGGCCCCCAGGCTAAGCATGTGAGGAAATCTATGTTGAGTTGTTATCTGAGATAACAGCTTATTGTCTAAGAACTCAAGAGCTACCCTTTGCTGTGCATGATTTGCAGTAAATGAAATTAGTCTCTAATGCACGTTGAGCCTTGATGCATGTCTCTGACCTGTGAAATATTAACTTGGAGTGCGTCCATGTCATGTTTGTTATAGCACACCTTTTTGGTGATATTTCAAGGGATACCTTTAACTCAGAATACTGGAACATGAAGTTTTGTAGCTATCTTTCCAGAAGTCAAGAAATGATTTTATGGCTGCATAATTTTTTCACATGAGGTTTGTCACTGTCCTCACTGACTGATTTCACCCTGTTTTCATCAGAAGAAACTGAACACAAAGAATTGATCTGTAAGGAAAGAAGGTACTACTTCCATATTACAACTCATAAAACTAAAGCTGCAATGATTAAAAAATATAATGGAACAAGAGACTTGGTGAGAGTATTCATTAGATATGGCTTGAATATGCAAAACACTTCATGAGTTACTCCATAGAAATCATTCTAGATAGTCCTTCTGTTACAGTAAAGTGAAATGAAGAGCTGGGTCAACAAAGCTATACCTTGGAAAATTTTTTCAAGTTCTGTTTAATTGGAGGAGTACAAGGTAGCCAAGGAAACAAAGTCAAAATATGGCTTACTACTAAAAGGTGAGTCTCAAAAATGAAACCATGTATTGTTTGTGTTTGTTATAAAGAACTGGGCAGGGACTTCACATGAAGGAAAACAGGCAGGAAAGACAGGTACAAAGATTAGGATAACAAATGGATTCATTGTTGGAGGTCTGTGGGATTTTCCTTGCTCACTGTCCCCATCTTGCATTAGCTTACAGTTTACATGTGAATAGCGACAATCTGGGTTTTTCAAGTATGTGGGTACTGAGGAAATGTAGCTTTTTGAGGATGGGATTCTGTTACCTGGATTACTGTGAGTTTTCTAGACTGTTTTGACTGTGAGTGTTCCCACAATGGGTACTAAGGTACTAAGTATGTTTATTTAATTATTTTTCCCTTTGTTATCTTCTAAATTGAGGACGTGCAATTTAAATTATAAACTGTTAACTGTTCTTTTGTCTCAATCTGTAGTTGTTTGAATTTATATTTTATCAGGAATCCTACTCTGAATAAAGAGTGACCATTTAATTTAGCTTGTGTCTGGGAATGTCAACAGAAATATCCTCTACAGGTTTTTATTACTCTGCTTTGGAAGACATGTACATGCATACATGGCTTAATGGGACCGGCTTCATAGCCATGTGAATATTGAACAGTGTACACATGGCTGTATCTAGTGGGGGGAATGTGGATATCATATCTGACACCTCTGTTTCTAATGGATACCTAGGGATGAAATGGAAACATAGGAATTTTCTGCAGCCTTCATACTCATTATTTTTACTACTGGGATGGACACTGGTAGATGTCTTCATTTATGCTCTGAATGTGGCTGGAAGTGTAAGAGTGACAGGAGAATTGGATGGGATGCTCATTAAACGTAACTTAGAGTCAGCTGACCAGGAAAGGAATTTTTTGGGTATGCTTCATGGGAATTATAACTGTTATTTCCACCTTCTGGAGGTACCATTCAGGACTTGTGCTTGAGTGGGGTTCAGTTCAGAACATCTCTTCTGTTAACCTTTTGACCATGTTGTTGTGGTGTGCTGGCTTTCAGCTCATCTCCTGAGGGAGATAAAAGAAACACCTGGAACTTAAGGGGGTTTTGCTTTGGCTTGGTTTGTTTGTTTTCTGCATTCATCTTGCTGTGAAATTACTACAGAGGTTATGTGAGCTGTAAAAAGATTTTCTTTTTTATTTCTTTGCTGATCCAGGGAGAAATTTGCCAGCTGTATTCTCAATGAATGGTAAAGTCCATAATTAGGGATAGTGTTTTAAGCCTGAAGTTCCTGGTTATGCTCTGAGCCCTTCTGAGAGAATCTAACATCTGTGTACAGATATGCTGTTGATGGGAACACCTTGGCCTCATGCTGGCTGCTGGAGAGGGCATATGCTGTCCCACTAATCCTACTGCCGTGGCATAAGTTGCTCCTGAGGTCAGCAGCTGCTATTGGGATGAAGAATGAATGCTGGGGTCATCAAGCAGGCACCTTCTATGCCTTGAGGATCCTGTCTCCTTTGGTTATGGCTGGGATAGAAGATACCAGTGAGTGGAGCAACAGGAAGTTCTTCAGAGTGATTTGAATGGGACTTTATTTCTGCCAGCTGGAGTGTTTATTTAAAAACAAACAAAATCCCCAACTATAGATGAACAAAAAATGAACAAACCCCAAAATAAACAACCCCCCCCAAAAAACCACTGTTGTAACTATCCTAACAAAAACCTCTTGAAGCACATACAGGTTTTGGATATGCTATTTTTGAAGAGCAAAGTAAACTAAATGTTTTTTTGCACACAATTGCACACACACAACCCCGAATTCTCAACAAGGGGTGGAGGAAAGGGAACCCGGTTCTTGGTGTTAAACTTTGAGGTGATAGTGGTGATATAAGAGGGTCACAGTTTGTAAAGGAAATGACATCAGTTACAGCTGGCAAAAGATGTAATTGGATATATTAGTCAAATTTTCATTTACAGTTAACAATTTAGAAATTAGCAAATGTGATCGTTAAGGTCTCTTGCATTGTAGGTAACACTTCTGAATGTAGCTGATGGCATTTGACTGTTTTACTGTTTATATAGGGTTTTTTTTTGCAGTGGTGTACAGGAGATGATTTCTTACTGCAAAATGTGTGGATAGATCTGTAGGTTTAAACTTTGCAAAGGAATTCGTACTACCAAACTATGAATTAGAAAGTAAAATCTGTCTTTTGAAGTTTCCACTTACTCATTTAGAAAAGTCTTTGCTGATACAGCCACTTCCTTTGTTAGTTGGATACTGCACTCTTCAATATATTAATTACTGTTAACCGAGGATTTTAAGAGAGTATAACCAATGTGCAATGTAGTTATATGACTCAGTAATTTGTATCTATACTTTGAGATTAATACAACTGTAAGGAGGGCAGTGTTTATTTTGAAATATAAAGTATATGCTAGTCAGCAGTGACCCTAATCTGAATGTATGCTTCAGGAAAACAGTAAGAGCACACAGACTCCCCCACTACCCCCAAACACTCCAGTGGCAGTATCTCTTTGAACATCACAGTAACTGAGGAGGGTTGTTTGCCATCTTCCATTTCTTGAAGTTTGTCACGACTTATGAAAGGAAGCCAGTCAGAATGTTGCAAGTGTACTACTTAAATTCAATTTTGTGTTGAGCTAGGGCAGTTCACTGAAGATTACTGAGGAAGTGTCTTCAAGATTCTTTTCAAGAAATGACTGAATCTGGACAGCAGAAGGTCACTACCAAGTTCTTTTTTATTATTATTATTTTTATTGTAGTGTTTTTTCCTTCTGTTTGTTTAGTGACTCAAGCCCTGCTCTATCTGATCATGAGGAGGAACTGGGGGGAAGGCCTCTTCATGTCAATAAAAATAAATTTTGTCCACTAAGCCTCTTAATTAAATCTGAGAATCCTTCTAATTTCTGTTCTAGAAGTATAAAGAATATAATGATGGCAAAAGAAACAAACATGATTTATGGAACACCTGAAAAAGTGAAGTGAATGACTTCATTTAGCAATACACTCCTAGGCATCTTTATGAAAGGCAATTTCATTTGAGACTTTAAACATAATTTTAAGTATGGTGTGTTATTAGTACACATGTTGGCCTAGTAGAAATGAATGTCTTTCTTTAGAAGCCAGGAGAGGGGAACAAAAGGAATGCAGGAATATACTGAAGGTAGGCTCGGCTTTTTAGATTAGTTTACCCCTAGTCCAAAATGCAGCGAGTTTGGATGTTCTCTGTGGATGGGTTGGGATGCTGTCATGAGAAAAGGAAGCAAACTCTGCTGACAGGTATCTTTACTGTGCAGCAGAGGTCATGGTTAGTAGCTAGTGCCCTGTTCCTACTTGTATGGTTTAAGTGTAGTTTCAGGCCTACATATTATGATCAGTTTCCCTGGCTGATACTGGCTTCAAGAACCACTTCCACTCAGTAATGTTATCATAAAAGTCTATAACCAAGCCTGTGAAGAAAAAATACACAGAAACAAATGCTTGCCCTAGCAGCCCACATCCTGTAGCCCTAGAATGTAAGAACAAGAAGCTTAGTTTTTTTAATTCTCTCTGAAACTTAGCTGTTTCTTAACCACATTTAGATAAGCTTCTGATTAAACTGCTTTTAAAATCTGCTGCTCCTGTGTTGTTTTCAGACTGATTATATACAGAAAATGACAAAACTTTCTACTGTTTCTGTATAAAACAGTTTCATGTTAAGATGAAGCATCTGAACCCAGGAAGGAATTCAATAAAATGAGCTTTCCTATGCGTTTTTGTACCCCTTCTCACCAGTGTTGCTTTAAATTTCGGTACACTGTGCACTTAAATTCTTAGTCAGAGCAGTAGACTAACAATTTTCCAGCACAATCAACATGTATATACTGAAGACCTTTATATTAATAGGTGCTCTTAAGTCCTGTGCAGACCAGTTGTTACGAATAGCTTTTTTCCATGCGTATGCTGGTTGGTTTGTTCTGGGTTGTTTTTGTTTGTTTGTTTGTTTGTTTCAGCACTGGCCATTTTCAACACCTTTGCATTTTCAGAAGAAAAGAGGTGATGATGGTAACAGATGAAGCTCCTTCATGGAGTTACAGTTCTGTTTATTTATTCTAGCATATTTGTCCTAGCATTAGAATCTTAATAGCCATGTGTGGTTTTTGGTTTAACTGTAGTGAATGGCTGTATTGTAAAACAGTACTTTCATCCTTTAATTTTTCAGCTATATACAATTTCAAAGGCACAGGAGTGGCACAACTACCTCTATCCATTGGTGATGTGGTCCATATCTTTGAGTCCTGTGAAGGTAAGTCAGTTGCCTTCAGGCTATGGGTTTCTTTGTGTGAATAATCATTTTACTTCACAGCAGTTCCCCATGTTATGTAAGTAGCTGTCTAACGTTCTTATTTGAATTGGTGGTCACACTTTATTTTGAGGAAGAACCTATTCATTTTTTGGAAAGCCAAAATCAGAAAGTTACAGTACATGTGGTTTTTTTGGGAAGCCATTACCGGATGAGGAAGTCATCAAGGTGAATGTCAAGTTTACGAAGTTCACTCTTGCTTGTAATACATCTGATGGAAGTTATGTTAGATCTGATTGAAGTATTAATGGATTAAATTTTTTGCCTATCAGCTAAATATTTGTTTGTAGGAGATGTTCACCATCCTAGTCATCCTATAGTATATGACGAAAATCTAGAATGTTTAAGTAGTTTTTAGGTCAGCGTTATAGAAACATATCTGCAAACCACCAAACTTACAGAACATACTAAACAGCAGAAGTCCAAGTGAATGCATCAAAACCAGTCAATATACTGATCCAAACTTAAATATCAGTATGTGGAGATGCCTGAACAGGTGTCATAAGTGCAAAATAAATACTAGCAGCTGAAGAATAAACGAACATTAAAATTTTGTGCATTTATGAAGCTGAATTAATTGTTGATACTGTAGTGCCTGTGTGTTCCTTCATATTGATCTGTATCTTCACAGTCTGACTGAATTCTCTCTCTGAAGTCTGTCAGAGATACGTAAGTTTTTATTAGCATAAAGCGATGAGGGTGCAATTATTATTACAACTGAACAGTTGGGTATCTGCTGCAAATGTTACTGTCATAGTAATTTATTTTCAGTCTGCAGTGATACTCTTCACCAGGTAAAGGATTTTAAAAAATTATCAAGTGTTTCAAGATTTACAAAATGTCTTTCACTACTATCTTCTTTAACCTATTTCCATTGTCTGTCAGTTATACTTAGTAACTGCAGTTACATTAAAGAAAAAGGCCAACTGCTGATTTGGGCAGTTTTAGAGACAGCTCAGTGCTGGAAGACACTTTGTGTGAAAGAAAAAGGCCAACTGCTGATTTGAGCAGTTTTAGAGACAGCTCAGTGTTGGAAGACACTTTGTGTGTTGTGGTCATAAGACTGCAAAGACCCTGAAGCTGTTTGAGCCCAGCCCATTCCACTTCATGGAGTTTTAGGTTGTTTTGCATGGAAACAATGAAGTATTGGAGAGAAGATCATCTGAGAAATCACATGTCCAATATTTTTGAGCACAGAAGTGGTTTGGTTTTTTTTTCTATTTGCGAGAGAAATTTTATATCTCTCAGCAGCAGTGAAAATATGGATGTCTATCATTAGACTATTAGGCAACAGATGCTTGTCTCAAAGTCATGAGTAATGATTTGTGTTCTCTCCTAAAAAATTAAAGGTCTGCATAATTCTTTAAACCTCCATTCTAAACATTTTGGCTAAGAAAAGAATCACATGGCAAATCAGAAAACCCCTCATCCCTATATTATCCCCATTAGTTGCAGAAAGAGCATTTCAGGTTTCTGACTCCTGCAGTATGTTTGGTGTCAGGTTGTCAGCTCAGCCTAGCAAATTGAGCAGCGAGCTTATGGGGTTATGTTTTAGATAAGTCTTTTCTGAATACTGTGCTCTTAACACAAAATGTCACAGCTAGATTTATGAAATGTTTGTCAATGATCAAGTGGAATCTTTCATGTTGTGCAAGTGAGGAAGTTCATCTTTTATCAAATATCTTAAAAATATGCTTCCAGGTGCAGCTGAAGAGTAACCAACAGTAACAGGTTTTTTTTCTTGTGCTCATTTTAGGTGCTATTTCAGTTTGTTTTGCATGCACAAAATAAACACAGAGAACACACATATGCAGTCACAGCAAATAGGGTGAAATAAAGACAGACTGGGTTGTAAACTGGAGACTATGTAAGTAGATCAGTTTTAGAAGTAAGTTGAAATTCTATTGTGGAGAAGATAGTAGGAAAAAATCCCAGTCCTATAAAACCTGAAAAAAAATGTATCCCAAGTCCAAGTGACAGGTCAGTCTTTCTCCTGTGACTTTTAACATTGCCTTGCTCACAGTAATTTTTATGGTTTGGGATTTTTTTTAATGCTTTGGTTCCATGGCTGAAATACCTCTGTTGTGTTAGAAATTATGAGAGAGAGGAAAGGTAAAGGGAAGAGATAATACCTCTTCATGAGATTATAGTCAGAAAATGTGTGGTTTTAGTCATAAAATGCTTTCTTTGGAGTGACATGTAAGAAGTATCCAAGAGAGCTGAATACTGTTGCTGTGCAGGTCATGTTTTATGATGGAATGTGACACAGTGGATGTAGCTTCTGCTCTAAGTTAGTAAGGATGAACTTGTGTGTTCTTTGTAGAAGTTTATTGTGCCTTGATTGCTGCATAGATACAACAAAGTCTGAATTAGTTTATTTGCTACTGCTGCAATACTGCACCCTTCTTCTTTCTGAAGGGGTTTTTAGTTTATAAATGGTGCAGGAGCCTCATAATAGCCCTCATTTACTTGAGGTTGTAGCTTGAACTTGACACTAGGAAGCTGCTTATTCGAGGTGGGCCCAAAAGCTATAATTCCTCATTACAGAAAAATGGCTTACTCTTCTTACGTTCAAGGGTATAAAACAACTATATTTACATTGGATTAACAGTACACCTAAAACACAATTGGAAGAGCTTAATGGATTATCCAGTATCATGAGTGGTCTTGGTAGAGGGACAGATGTATGTGTTACGTATTACATTTCAAACCATCTTATTCTACCTTTCTGAAGTGAGTACAGGGGTGTTAAATTCTAAGATTGCTGTACTTACTGTGCAAGACTTGAGGTAGACCATTTAATCACATCTGCTAATGTGAAAGTCATGCAATATGCTTCCTCATAGCCACTTTACTTTTATCTATGTATTTTTGAATTTTATTATTTAATAATATATTAAATTTATTTATTAGTTTTAAAATATCCTATGCTAGATAGTTCTTCTATGAAACAAATTTCACTTATTTTTTCATTATATGTTGTTCTTATGTGTATGCTCAGTCATACTAAGTGCACTCTTTCTTCCTTTTAGATTGGTACAAAGGTTATCTAGTAAGACATAAAGGATCAGAGGTAAGGAAGATCACACTATTCTTGTGAGACTTTAAGGAATTAATCCATGCAGTTTTTTTAGTATACCAGATAGTCCTGTTATGATCTCTGAAGTCAGCTGCCTCCATTCTCTTTCCTTTCAAGATGAATAAAATGATCAACATTTGTTCTTGACAAGGTTGGTAAATATTAGAAGTGAGGACTGGGAGAAGCAGATGAAAGAAGAAAAAAATTATTGTGCCCTCACATTAACAGAGACATAATTTGAAACAACTTTTTGATCTGTTTCTGCATTTCTTTTCAAAGTATTCTTCAGGCTACATTCAATATAAACAATAAATGAGGCTTAAATTCTCAAATATTCCTCTAATATACAAAAATAATTTTTTTTATAAAAGGCAGTGTTTTTATACCTGAAGATGAACAACCACGAAAATATAGTTTACACTGGATGTGAAGACTCCTGAGTCAAGTAGCAAGCGAATTAATAATTTTTGAGTACACTTCTCTAGAAGAAAAGCATTTTTTGAAAATAGCTTTTAGTCTCAGATTTTTTTTAGGGAACAGCGATGACACCATATTTCAAGTTGGAGACTTGTGCCTATATAATGGTAGAAATGTCTGGTGGAAGGCTCTATAGCCTGGAAAAAAGGATGTACAAAACATTCACAGACACTTAAAAAGGGCTGTCTGGGGAGTGGAGGGGCAGTTGTTGGCAGAGAATACGCCATCAGAAAATGTAAGGACAGGCTTCAGTTGTCTGTTTCTCCTTTTTCTGTTTTTGTGTTCAGTGGCTTGCAGGTATTAACAATAACTTACATTAACATGGAGTAAATAATTTGTGTCTGTTTTAAAAATGTATATGAGAGTAAAATATTTTAGTTTCCTTTTAGAGCTGTTAGATGCTTGATTTACTGTTTGATTCCATTGCTTCATGACTGCATATCCTAAAAGACAGATGAACGAAAAATTGTTTGTGATAATTATGCATAATTGCTTTCTCCAGATTTCTGCTTGTTTCCTATGTTCTGCAAGCTCCAGTATGTCTGCATAGTACAGTTTCCTTGCTTCCTTCCATTTCTTGGTTGTCACAGATCAGATGGAAGCCAGGCTAGTGGTAAGGTAGTTGTTGATGGAGCATAGTATGGCAGTGGAGGCTGCTCAGAGCAGATTCTATCATCTGGCTGCTTTGCTGTTTTTGAGGGTGGATAGGAGAATATGGCTAACCGTCCTCACTCCTAACCTGTCTGATACTGTAAATGTGGTTTAAATACTCTGACATTCCTTTTGGCTCAAAATGCTATTGTTGTTTATTCTAATTATTTTTTTTAACTTTTATTAAAATTTAGTCTAAAATGAGAAAACATTTACTAGAACTAACCTCTTCTTTTTAACTAATTTCTAATATTGCTAAAGGTTTTCATCAAGGTCAACATGCATAACATGTTTTAACAAGTATTGTTAATTTCATATACTAAGATTTCACTAAATTTGCTATTAATGGGATGTTCTTTTTTACTTTGCTTCTTCATGGACTCTTTTGAACTTTTATCTTAATGAAAAATTGCGCAATTGATAAGACACGATTGTGTTTTGATTAAAAATTCAGTGCTAAAAGAAAATGGTTTTAAAAGCTGAAACCTAATTGAGAGAGAGACCTTGTAAAGTACCACATCAGCATGTTGGTTATTGAATAGAGAAGAATGCAGGAAGAACCTAGCTTAATTAACAAGGCTAGATTTGCTAGTTAATGTGAGGGTTGTCACAAATAGATTGATAGTCAAACCTTTCTTTAGGATGACTTAAGACACTTGAACTGTTTTAGATCAACAACACATCACAGGAGACCATTTTGTCTGCTAACCATTTTTTCTATAAAGGTCAATTAAAAATTGATGTTGAGAATGTAATGAAATCTGGTGCCTCCTTTGCAGCATGTTACTGCATGGCCCTAGGTAGTACAAGATGAGACTGTAGTCTTAAGAGCAGTGGTGCCACATATACCTAAGAGGGCTGAGAGTTTATGGCTTTACTAAGTGGCTCACTCTTTTTTGCATTGCAAATGAAAGGGCATTCTTTTTTTCTTTAAGCAGTTTTAGTCTTATGCAGTGTTCTTGTTCTTCAAAGGTAACTCAGAGTATAACATCTTTAATGTCAGTGGCCATTTTGCTGTTCATCCCACGTGATCTACTCTGTCTGTCTATATGTCTTTCTCTAGAAGCACTGATCCTTTATCTGCATCTTTCTTTGGTTTGCTAATCAAGCTGATCTCTAAAATTGATGGCATTTTTTTCCTAGAATGAGAAATGTATGGGTTGAGGCACAGAGAATACATTTTTTTTTTTTTTTTTTTTACTGTACTCAGCTATACTATATGTACTCTTTTCTAGGGGACCAGAAGGAGGGGGTAAGGGTAGAAGATGGCTTTTCTTCTGAATGTAATTTGATGCATTCAATTTGCAGAAAATTATATGATGAAAGATTTTTCTGTTCAGACAGGAAAGCATTTTGCTGGGCACAAAACTAGCCAGCAGTTTATTTGGAGATTAGAGTTTATGTTCATAGTCATAGTTTTATGAAGAACATGTAAAAGTGGATTTTTGAAACGTTCTCATTTTTTACTTAAATGTTCTTGGAGAATAAGAGTGGATTGTTGTTGGTTAGTTTGTTTTTTCTCTTTCTACAGGGAATATTTCCCAAGTCTTTCATCCACATCAAGGAAGTTACTGTTGAAAAAAAAAGGTATTGAAATTAACTGGTCTGTGGTGTTGAAGATCTTGTCTACTAATGGATGAGTTCTAAGGTGTTTCTATGCCTTAAATGTAGTAATGATAATAAAAATCCATGGAACTTAGACCCTTTTTTCAATTTCACTGTGTTATATTTACTCCTTTTCTAGACATACAGAAAATATATTACCTGCTGAAATTCCTTTAGTTCAAGAAGTTACCACTACCCTCTGGGAATGGGGAACCATCTGGAAACAGCTCTATGTGGTATGACATTGTTGCATGTGGTGTGTAGCTTGTAATTAGTCCTACTTATGCATATTAAGGCCATGTTCAAATGACAGTGTTTTCTCAGATGCAGGTCAGGATCTGGGAGGATGTAAGAAATAACTTCAGCACTGCTTAGATAATTACCATCTTCTTCAGTGGCCTTCAGTTGAAAGGCTGCCTTATTGCTGAGGAGTGGTGTAACTTCATGCCTTTAACCCTTGAGTGTCCTGTACATGATAAATTTCTCATAATTGTTCTTTGTAGAGTTGACAGACTTCAAGATCAGAGTATCAAACATAAATAAGATGCATTTAGAAAAGATGCATGTTCTTGGGATGCTAGAACACAAGTGTTCAGGGATTACTGGGTGTATGTAGCTATCAACACCTGGCAATTTTGATCAGTCAGTCTTTTTACTTCCAATATCTTAATCTTATATTTCTTACAGAAAAATTTTTTTTCCATCTTGAAGAAAACACTCATACTAATACATAAAAGTGCCTTGAATTTGGATGTACTAGTCAAAATGGCCACTACATCAACATCTGTGCTCCTTGTAAATAAACAGCCTGTAGTCACAGTGGTCTTTTGCTTATGCTTGTAATGTCCACAGTATAGTCCAAAACTGTAGAAGTGACTGATTATTTATAAAAAATTATATTTTAATTGAACATGAAATATTTTTGCAGGCCTCAACTATCTTTAATACAGAGACTAAACCTTTCTTATACCCACCCCTGGACATTCAGAGATTAAATTTTAATTTCAGCAATAGAAAGCTAAGTTTTACATTTGCATAATCATACATATTTTCCATTCCGTAACCCCACATAAATCTCTATTGATTCTAGTGACTTATTTATAAAGTTTTGTCTGTCTAACTTAGGTTAAAGTGTTGACTGGAAAGACACCCAAAGGCAATTAATCCCCTGGTATTGGATAGTCTCTTCTAACAGATAAGCTCTATCAATAACCTGTACTGACTGCTCCAGGATCCCATCCATTGGATTTTGTTTTTTCTTTGCAGGGGCAACAAAATCTTGAATATGGTCAAGTTTTTCTTCATTAATGTATTTTCTGAAACATGTCACATTTTAGTCTTCCTCTTGTTCAAGTCAACAATTAAAACTTCTATTGTTTCAGTGAATAACTCACTGGAACTACTTTAGTAGCTTTTCTACATTGTCTCCCTTCTCTCTTCAGTGTATTAATATCACAAACAAATGTTATTGTTCCCAGTGTGCTCTTATCAGTATCTCATACAGAAGGAAATGGCTTCTACAGTGTTTTGTCTTGGTGAGACTTAGTTAATGAATTTTACAATGGCACAATTAAATAAAATGAAAAAAAATTTTATTCCCTATCCCTGTAAAAACTGTTTAAATTTAATGTCATTTCTTTATGGTCATATGAGAGATTCTTTCCTTAACCAGTTATTGGATCAGAGGTGGAAAGAATCCAAGATCAGTACTTGGCCTTATTCTTGGTCCTGTAGTCATTTAGCATTAAATAGGACACATCCTTTAATTGTCAAGACCAACATTTCACTTCAGTTTGAAGCTTGAAACCTATTGTTTTCTTTGCTGTCTTAGATGAATAAGAAAGAACGGTTCCAGCAGGTGCAGTCTATGATGTATGACTTAATGGAGTGGCGGTCACAGCTTCTGTCCGGGACTTTACCAAAAGATGAGCTCAAAGAACTCAAACAAAAAGTCACTTCCAAAATTGACTATGGTAACAAGTAAGTGGCCTAGGTTGCTTCTGGAAAATGGGATTTATTTTAAAGCATCCAGCTGGAACAGAGATGATGATCACGTTCTCCTGTTTGCATTTCTATGTTTCACTGATGTGAAAAGTAGTCATTGAGTCTGCCTATTTAAACTCATCCCTGTTATTCCTGTGATAATAATAGGTATCATGTTGAGGCTTCTCATAGCATACCACTTCTTCAAAATACTAGATTTATTTGTTAATTAGAGAGATATGATCTTGTTAATTGTAAACATTTGGGATCAGGTAATTGGCTTTTATATACATATAACTTCAGTGTACTCAGGACCCAAAACTTGTCCATCCTTCAGAAATACAGCCTACCTCTGGTAGTATTATGCTGCCACTTCAAAGAAGAGACTTGCATTTTGAATGTTGAGGTAAAAACATTGAGGTCAAAAAAAGCACAGAAGGAAAAAAGGCATGATTTGTACATGAGCAAAGGAGAACATAGCATAATAGTTAAGTAACAGGACTGAAAGAGTAAGAGAGCAACATAAAGCACAAAGTAACAGGAAAAACCTACTCATATTGACTAAAAAGGTTATTGCTAAATAGCAGTAGAGATGAAGACTGCTTGAAGCCAATGAATGTGTTAATCTGTTTTATATGGTAAGCATTTAAATGCTTTGGTGACATGAGTACAAGTTCCAAAAATAAATAAATACTGTACAACAGCTTGAAAAGAAAGTCATGGGGTTTAGTTAAATTTTTCTTCAATCAAATACTGGTGTCTATCTTGAAACTTACCTTATTTCTTCAAAACCTGAAGCAAAAACTTGACTTTATTTTTATAGAAGGAAATAACCCTACCATTATGCTCTTTGTATTTTCACAGGATACTTGAGCTAGATCTAATAGTTAGAGATGAAGATGGAAACATCTTGGATCCAGATAAAACCAATGTCATCAGCCTGTTTCATGCACATGAAGAAGCAACTAATAAAATCACTGAGCGCATTAAGGAGGAAATGGTAGGAATGATTGTTCAAACTTAATTCTTCCTTTGCTACAATCAAAATGGAAATGCAGTACGTGGGTTGAAGGATGAACCTGCTACCATAGAAGCTGGTGGGAAATTTTGCCTCTGACTGAACTAAGGGTAGATTCACACTCACATCTTATAAATATGACTAAGCCTCAAATGCAATTAGCTGCATTTGTGCACTGGTTTCAGGCTGTGGGCTAAGCTGAAAGCCTGTGTCTAAAGCTGGTTCTGAACCCATAATCTGCTTGCTCAATAGAAACACATCTTCTCATTCCATCTGTGAGCTGCTTAATAGGCCAATCGCTGTATCAATTAATTACGTACTTGGAGTTTGGGCTGCAAGCTATGACTAACCACAGCCCTTTTTTAGAGGAGGTTGTGAAAACACTACTTGCTTGCTATGTGTTGCTGTTTCTTAGTCTGAAGTGTTTAAGCTCAGTAAAGAGGAATTCAGGTGCAATCAACATTGTCTTGTGGATACCAGAATTTAGCATACCAAAGCAAAGATGAGTGCATTAATTTCATCATTTAAAATGCAAAGCAGGTGACTACACTTCCTTGACCTTTTTCTATACTAAATTTGTTCAGGGACTTTTAAGATACTTGGGTTATTTTATTAATTCATGAGGAAATAAAGCAAGTGAAAGACCTTGACAAAAAAACAGTTGAGCTGTCATGACAGTTAAGTAATACCCATGACAAATCACTGGAAAGCATCTTATTAATTGTTCTTATCAGTGTCACTAAATAAATCTTACTACCCACACATCAAAACATAATTAACTGACAATAGAAGGAAAATAAAACTTGGTACTCTGCAACAGACTGTGTTGACTTGTTTTAAAAATAGAGACAGACTATAGATAAAAATAAATTTACGACATCAAACGTTTCTAGGTGGCTAAAATGGAATGTAGGAATTTTTGAGTTGGTGAATCTGATCAGCTGTGTCCTGATCTCAGCATGTATTGTCTTCTTGTTTCATTAGCATTCCTAGCATACTGAAACCCAGTTAGGGTCTGGATTTTTTGCCTTCTATTTTATCCTACTGTGTTCAAAAATTCTCTTTGAGAGTTGTAACCTTGCTTCTGTAGCAATAGCTTGGTACTTTCTCTTCTCTTTAAAAGTGTTGATAATATTTCACCCTTTATATGGCTGAGGAACTGGCCTAAAATACCGAAGTCCTAGAATCACAGAATATCTAAAGTTGGAAAGGATCCATAAGGATAATCAAGCCCCAGTTGCTGCTGGCTTCTCCGAATGGGGTATAACTTCTTAAAGCATAGCAAACCCATTGTCAAATCCTTTAGGCACAGTTTTTCACCAAAATTTAAGTAAAGGACTTCAGAATACTTCCATTGAAATCAGCCTGATTTTCTTGGGACATAAAGTTTTGAATACATTAATATATAGGAGGGAAGCTTAACCTGGATCTTTTCTACTGCATGAAAGTAAGCGTAACATTTTCAAGAAAGAAAGGTTTCCAGAGGTGGAGGGAGGAGGGAAGAGAAACAGCTTAGCCATTCTGTTCCTTGGAAATAATGAAATCAAGTAATCCCTGTTCCATTTCTAGAAGGAGACACCTATCTGGAAAGGATAATATGCTTAGAATCCCATCCCAAAGAGGTTCTTACTCACTCTAAGTCCCCTAAGTACTGCACAAGACTCTGTCATCAGCGTTTTCATTATTTGCACACAGCATTAGCTCCCTGTTCTGGGGGCAGTGTTTTGAAGAATCCAGTCTGAGCGTTTGAATTCCTTGCATACTATGAAGGCTCTGGAGAGATAAGAGGGATCTTACGTACCTATGAACTTCTGTCCCTTACAGCCTGCTAACTTTCTAGCTTCATGGTACAAAAAGATGTTGATGAACCAATGAAGCCTTGCAGAACATTGGAAACTTATTTGCTAGTCATATTTGTGTTATTAGGCAGTGTCTTTTGGAGGAATACACAGGTATACAAATGCTTATTTGTTCGAAACAAGTATTTTATCCAAATCTTCTATGATTTTTCAAGATCAACTGATAGATCTGATAAAAAAAATGAAATGGCTTGTAGTATCCTGATGTTTACATCCATGGATCTAGTTAATGGTTTTCCTCCTGTGTAGTCAAAGGACCAACCAGATTACGGATCATACTCCCGAATGTCTTCATCCCCCACCCACAGCCTATATGTCTTTGTGCGGAATTTTGTTTGCCGGATTGGTGAGGACGCAGAACTCTTTATGTCACTATATGATCCACAGAAATTAACAATTATAAGGTGAGCTTTTTGTTTAACTGTAAAAGAGAAGCAAAAGGAGCTAGACAGAATGAAGCAAAAAAGTTGCCAACATGCTAGTAATGCAGAGAATGTGTAAATAAGGAAGAAAACGAAAAGGTAAGGGAAGAGTGGCCAGGTCTAGGTTTGGTAGCCACTGAAGAATTCTGTGGTAAGGGATCCCAAATATTTTGACATGTCATTCCAGCATTGAACATTTCAGAGTTTTGGAGAAGTCAGAGGCCACTTCAAAAATCAAGAGATAGTTGTTGATGGGGAATAGTGTGGTGTCTGGAATGAAGTGCTGAAAGAGGGAAGGGGAAAAAATGGGAGTAACATGAAAATATTAATATTAAGATTCTGTCGAGTATTCCTGTCAAACAGTCTGGTGATGGTAATGTTCCCTCCAAAAAAGGTGCCATTATCTCTTACATTCAAGTTACTTTTCACAACTTCCTGATGGTTTTTTGTATAGCATTCTTCATGTCTTTACTATGGTGTTAGGTTTAAACAAGCAACCCAGACCACTGTCTGTTGTGCAACCTTTGTTATGTTTTGTGGTTTTTAATGTACTGTGAAAGGGAAGAATTTTTAAATCACATGATAATAAGATATTTATCTTCAAAACAGTGAGAACTACTTGGTGAGATGGGGCAGTAGAGGCTTTCCAAAGGAAATTGATATGCTCAACAACCTTAAAGTAGTGTTCACAGTAAGTGTTTTCCATTTTACCTTGATTTGTATTTGCAAATCAGGCTGTCCCTTTTCTGTGGTCACTATCAGAACTGTTGAAGATGGAGCAAGATGAAGAGAGAAGCAGAAGTAATCTTCAAAACAGAGGAAGAACCAATTGCTGAGTGCTTTGAGGCTGTGATATTTCTTCAGTGCCCTTTCTTCAAATCAATTTATTGCCTCATAAATTTACTGAGAGCAGTATTTTTTTTTGTCTGCTGTACCTCTTAATAGCTAATATTTTCTCTATCTTACCTCATGTTTTCTTCAAACTTCAGAATATTGGGTTTTTCATCTTTTCTGGGGGCTCAGTTTGGTGGCTTTTTTTTCCCTGTTGATTTCTGAGGCTCAATTTACTACAGGAGGTCCTGTTTAAATTTCTCAACTTGGTTCTTCCCCAGGTAATATTTAAATGCCTTTGTTTGTTTGTTTTGGTTTTGTTTTGTTTTGTTTGTATCTTAGGATCTTGGAAATAAAGACCTTAGCAGAGACAAAATTTATTTAGTTTGTCAAATAGTCCGAGTTGGAAGGATGGATCTGAAAGACAGTAACTCAAAGAAATACACCCAAGGACTAAGGCGGCCTTTTGGAGTGGCAGGTAACTGGTGTCTGCTGTGCAGACAGTGTCTGAGGCAGGACCCCCATGGTACTTGCCAAACATGGACTGAAGAATCTACCAAGACACACTAGAATACAATGTAGCTATAGGAACTATGTTTCATATTTAATTCTGAAAGTCTATAAAGACTGCACCTGTGTTAGCGTTTTAGTTCAGGTCAGAAATGTGCTTTTGAATTCCATTTCCTTAATAATTCATACTTACTGCTACACAGTGCAAACCAAAGCACAGTACCAGACTGTAATATTAGAATTCCTCACAGATTAAATGTAACTAATGGCTATGTCACCACAGCAGCACCAAGGCACTCAGACCTCTATTCTCAGGATTAGATCAAAGCTAGCCTAAAGCATTTCTCCTTTCACGTGTTTGTAGCATGGACTATGCAAAAAAAAGTTCTGCCCCACAAATCTACTCCTGCTTGTTAGTCAAAAAAAAAAAAAATTAAAAATTTCTATGTACACCCTGAGGCACAAGAACATTAATGCACATTATTTATAGGTAAGAGGAAATTTTATGCAATGCTATTATATTTTGATGATTTTTCTTTTACTCTTCTAGTTATGGATATTACAGATATCATAAAAGGCAAAGCTGAAAGTGATGAAGAAAAGCAGCATTTCATTCCCTTTCATCCGTAAGAAAATCGCTGATTTTTTTATTAAATGCCCCAGAATATTTCTCTCTCTGTTTGGTTCTAACAATCTGTGAAATGTTACAAGAAAAAAAATTACTTATAAAAAGTTTATGTTGTAATAGTGCTAATTATTTAAGTATCACTTAAAAAGACATTTAAGGTTTGTCAGGGGTTATACAACATGTTAAATGAATGTATATTTTGACAGATGTGTTGCTTCAGACAGCTGGTTCCACATCCTAGTTGACAAAACCCAAATTAAATAATTATACGTTCCCCACGGTGAGCTTTACGGATATGAATAACTAGTAGTTTGTGTGTTGGATTCTGTTTTGAATTTGAGAAAAACTTAAGTAAAAATTTGGTTTCCGCCAAAAAGTAGTTGAATAGTCATACATCAACTGTCTTCAGAAGAAATGCCTGAAAACATGCTAATCACAGGTGAAATGCTGAGGTGCCAGCGTGCGCTGGAAGCACGTTTGAGCATTAGCCGTAGCACCGCTGCTAGCTACTACAGAGAAGCTGATTGCTGAAAGACTCAAACAGGACACACTGGTGTATTATTTCACTTGCTTACAATTTGATCAAACTAAACAAATTAAGTGAGCATTTGTTGCTGATTCCAAAAGTAGCTGAAAAAAATTCCAAGCTGATTTGTCAGACTGTTTACCAAGGACAGAGGACAGCACTGGCATGTTGAACACAGGTTGCGTGCTCCTACAAAATTCTAAGCTTTCATATTGTCAGCCTGTCACAAAGTGCCATTCTGTAAAGGTGCCCCTTTAATTTTTTTCACTTCTGTGTACACATAAGCTTAATGTGAGTAGTCTGCAACTTGGAGTGAGAGATAATGAAATTACAGAACAGTTCAAGGACAAGTGTAGCCAAGAGGACTGAGGCTGTTTGTCATTGATGTTGTGAATGGGGTTTGATACATCCAGCAGTGAATTCCTAGTTAGACTTTTTTTTTTTCCCTCTTCTCCTGCAGGGTAGTGGCAGAGAATGACTTTTTACACAGTCTCCTAAGCAAAGTCACTGCATCAAAAGGAGACAGTGGTGGACAAGGTAAAGTAGATATATATTTTTTTAAAGTAACAAGGTCTTTTTCTGGAACTTTTTTATATTGCTTACATTTTAGACAAAGGCTTTCATGTTAAAATTGTAGCACCATCATGGAGGTTGGTCAGCTTTGAAAATGGTAGAACCACAAGTTTGTTACAGAGCCTTGGAGGCTATTTCAATTAATAGGTAGATGTTTGGATTATAGAGCTTTCACTCTCAGAGGAAGCAGGGAAGTGAATTCTTATTACTGTTTTGGTTCATAGAAGAGGCAATCATCTGAAGAGTGGTTTGTGTTTGGTTTTTATTTATTTATTTATTTTTAAATTTTATTTTTTCCTTATCATAAATGTAATATTTTTTCGTTCTCTTAATAGGTCTCTGGGTAACTGTCAAAATGCTTGTTGGAGATGTGATTCAAACTAGGAAGGACTATCCACATCTTGTAGACAGAACAACAGTTGTTGCCAGAAAGCTAGGATTTCCTGAAATAATCATGCCAGGTAGGAGGTATTTTGTTCTGTTATAGGAATGGATTATTTTTCATTCCCTAGGTTAATAAGCATCAGCTACAGCCTTATTTACTTAGTTCTGTAATGGGTAACTTAGAGTGTCTTTAGAATTCGTCCTTTATGGTAAGTTTTTCTAGTGTTAGAGTCTTATATAAAACAGTGAAATCATGGGAAAGTATTTTCTATTAGTTAAAGAGAAAAAATAAAATAAAGACAGTGAGAGATAATCCCAGCTCCTTGCACATAGCTTTCTTGTCTTCTAAGTGGATTGTGGTAGATAATTACTTGAATTTTAAATTAACCTTATTTTTATTGTAACTTATCTCTGTCCTGTGATAAAAATAAACCTGTAAGATTATTATATCTTGATTTTTGTTTGTTTTATTGTAAGGTATTTTCAGATTAAAGTCACTCACTGTCTGTAGTGCTCCTTTTTTTGAAAACAAACGTACACCTTCCTTACCCCTCAAACCCTCTAATTCTTTTAAAAGGAGTAATGAATTAGCTCACGGGAGAAAATTCAAGTATGAAGCTCTCTCTAGAGAGCTGTGTATTTGGCAAAAATTCAATAATAGCTTCAGCAGCCACCTCACCAGCAGGTGTCAGTGCAGGACGAGAATTGCTCCAAGTGCCTTCGAGGACTCTCCCTCGGGTACTTTCACACCATAGTAAAAAAGATAAGTTTAGATGGAAGATGAGATTGATAAGACTGTAAGACTGCAGAGTAGGAGGTATTCTTGTGAAGTTTAGTTAACATTATGCTCTCACAGCATTTTTTTCATTATTTTTTAACCTTTCTATGTTTGCTTTTTTTTTTCTTTTTATTTTTTTTTAAGGTGATATAAGAAATGACATTTATATTACACTGCTGTATGGAGATTTTGACAAATACAATAAAACAACTCAGAGGAATGTGGAGGTGATAATGTGTGTCTGTGATGAAGAAGGAAAAGTGATGCCAGTAAGTTTTCTCTGTATGATGGACAGGGAAACAAGAGTTATACTACAGAAGTAAGCCTTAAACTTCTTATAAATTTTTATAAAATACCATTGTGCAAAAGCTTGCTGTTCTCTCCATGTGTCACCTTGTGACTGGTAAGTTTTATGATGGTTAAACTGATGGATCTATTAAAGCCCTATAAATGTCTTTCATAAAACTGTAACAAGAAATAACACTGAATGACCTATTTTAGCTGTGCCAAGTTAAAAATGCTGTTTCTGACAATTACTGTGTTCTCACTCCAGGGTTTTTCCTGTGGGAATTCCCAGAGGAATGCAGTTTGTCCATTAAAATGTCAGAAATACCATTTCTGCTACTTAACAGAGCCCTGATTTGTGCCAGGAAGACTGTGTCATTGTCTCTTGAATGAAGTACATGGCAAATAACTAAATTAGTAATAAGAGGAGTGTGGACACGTAGTTATGCAAAAAGCATACTTACCATGTCTTTTTGCTTGTCTGTTTACCTTTGGAAGAATTTTTGACTTTTCCTTAGGACTTCTTAATACCAGTTCAGTGTTTAGGGGAGTTTCAGGCCTTTGCTTTTTCTGAGCTTTATGGTGTTCGCTAAGTCAGTACTGTGATCATGAGATTGAAATCACAATACACTTGTTTAGATAAAATGAAGATGGAGTTACTCGTTGTGGTTCATGACTTTCTGAAGCACGTTTATGAGATAAAATTAAACTCTTCAGCTGAAATTTAACTTAAAAGCTTGAAGAAAGTTCTAATACCATCTAATTCTTAGGGTCCCACAACCAATTTTAACTCTGATTACAAAAAACTACTGATACATAGGAAGCCCCCAAACCATGTAACTTGCATGTGCAGAAGTTAACTCTGTTGTGAAATAAATTTCCGCCACCTTCTGCTGCACAATATATGCTGGTCCTGAACCTGCAGCTCTAATGGAGTGTTTCCGGTCTCCAAAGGGCCCGTGCCCGAGCTGCTCAGGGCCCTGGGTGCAGCTTAGTGGGCAAGTCCCAAGCGAAGGGGACTGTTAACAGGGGAAAGATGTGCTGCAGCTCCCAGGCCTGAGCTGGGCCCCTCTGGTGGCAGCTGTGCCCTCTGTGCTGCTGCCCGCTGCTGTGGTGGGGGTGTCAGGCTGCAGAGGCGAGAGCAGGGTCTTACCTGTCTGCTGCCAGCCCAGCCCTGGTCCTGGCTGCTGCTCTGACGGCATCCAGAGGCTGAGGGCGGGAAGCAGAGCTGTGGGGCAGGGGGTGGGCAAAAGAGCCGTAAGTCTGAGGGTGCAAAATGGAGCCCTGGAGCACCTGAGGTGAGGGCAGGAACTGGAGCCCAGAGGCACTGTGGCCACCATGGCTTCGTGCCCCAGCGTGTGCTGTCCTGTGGCTCTTGGCTCTGCGCTGAGGCAAAGCTGCTGCCCGCAGCCGGTGGCAGGAGCCTGGGACAAGGCCTCGTTGGGTGCGTTGCTGCTTTGTTTGTGTATGCTCAGGTCATAAAAATGTACAGAAACTAATGAGCCATTAAGCACTGTTTCTTTTTTTTTTTTTTTGTAAGAATGCAGTTTGCCTGGGAGCTGGGGACAAGCCTGTGAGCGAGTATCGGTCAGTTCTGTACTATCAGGTCAAACAACCACGTTGGATGGAAACGCTGAAGGTATGGTGTGGATGCTTTTCACTTGTTTTTCCTCTTCATTTCTTGGTACCTCACATAAATGTTGCATAGCATCAGCTTTTTCTAAAAAAATTACTTGGTCCTGGATACAGCTAGAAGGATGGAGCTTTAATCGTGCATCAGTAATTAGAGGCGTATGATTACTGGGGCTTAAAATTTAGCCCAGAAAATGATGTTAAGATTTCATTTAGTAAAACAAATGAGATCATCTTAGATAACCTTATGCTCTAAAAGGGCTCATCAGAAATGAAATACTGCTTATGTTCTATCACAGCAAAACAATGGAGATGAGAAGCTTCAATTGCATGACCTAAAAAACCAGAAGCCCCCAAAACCAAACCAACCCTCCACTCTCCAATTACTAAAATTTTTGAAAAAAATGGCTTGGATTTCTTTAGAGGCACACCAATGATTATCTCTTTGATGTCTTTTTTTTGGAAAATGCCCAGAAGCTTCCAGAAGTAGATGTTATCAAGTGTCTCACGCTTGCTAGCAAGCATGATTTTTTTGAAGACAGCTTTTGAAGACAATATTGCCACATGTGACAGGCCTGAAGATAATTTACACTAAGTTGTGTTGTAGAGGTAGGACAGGACAGGGAGAGAATGGAAGTGTCATTTGAAACAGAAACTTATTTGTTCATTTGAAAACACTGATCTGTTCTTTCAGTGGGGTAGGGGGTTTCCTTAATATACTTAATAGCAGTTCAGACTTTTACACAGAATCATTAGCAGTAGATCCTTTTGAAAAAGGTAGTTTATGTGATGGAGTGTTATGTAATCGGAATTGTCATGTGAAGTTGTGAATGGACGCAAAAGACTAGGAGTCTGTAAAGTTTTAGAACTGTTAACTCGGTAATATAAAAACTTCTGCTTTTTTTTATGCAGTTGGCCTTTTTTGATGCATATTTATTATAAGTAGGTATGCTACTTTAAGAATAAAACCATCATGACTTCCTGGGGTTCTACTCAGGGCTTTGAAACTTAATCACAGAAATATACTTAAAATTATTTTATGTATATGAAATGAGGGAACTTTGTAGTGCAGAGGTGTTAAATAATTCTGGATGGGTAACAGGGTAAGTAGTAAGACTGCAGAATACTTATTTCCTAGTCTATGAGCAGCTGTGTGCTGTAACTCACTGGGTTCAGTGCTTTATTGCTTTGGTGGTGCTAGACTTTGAGCGAAGTCCAGCAGATAATTATGTATCGGCCACTACTTTTGCTGCTGTGATCAGCCTCAGTAGTTTTAAATGGCTTGTGAAAGGTGTTATGGAGCCAGTAAAAGTGGTGGTTATTTATTCTAAAATAAGAACTCATAATGACCTTCTCCCCCTGCCCCCATGTGTCTGTATTCATTATTTTCTAATTTTACAAAAGGTTGCAGTCCCTATTGAAGACATGCAGAAGATACATCTGCGCTTCATGTTCAGGCACAGGTCATCTCAAGAGTGTAAGTAGGGACTTTGTTTCTAGTGAATTTTAATTCATCAATGGATGGCCCATGGAAAATGTTTTGCTTTGCAGCTAAAGATAAAGGAGAAAAGAATTTTGCTATGGCATACATTAGACTGATGAAGGAGGATGGAACAACGCTTCAAGATGGCACCCATGATTTGTTAGTCCTGAAGGTACTGGATTTTTTTTTTTCTCCTTTCTTTCCTGCACGAGACACCTTCCATTCACACTGTTGTCTTTCACTGCATTGTTTATTTTCCTTAGTGCTAAATTAATTTCATTCTTTCAAAGAATTAGTCTATAAAAATGTTACGCTTTCATGTGAAAAAAAAAAAAAAAGTAACATGTTCCATGGTAAGTAAACATTACTCTAAATTTTGAGTGAGAGATGTTATATAAATACAATGAAAGATGGTTACTCTTTCTACTGTTTTTATTGGAGTTTGTGCATACGGTCTTCTGTAGCACAGAGGAAGTCATGCTAAAGGTCAGTATCTGGTTATGTACCATTATTCTTGCTGAAGAGGGGGAAAAGTATTAGTTGGATTTGTTAAGAAGCTTTGTCACATGAATAATAGGAGAATGTTACCTCGGGGAACTGGTTGCTTGAAACAACTCTGTAGTTGCACAAGTACAAAAGTGAGAATTGCAGAAATTAGGTTTTGGATGCCAGGAATAGTTTTGGCTATACCTGACAGGACACAGGCAGCATTTTTTACTTCAAACCGAAAAGGTGTTTCAATATTTGTTGTTCATTTTGTTTATTTGGTTTTGTTTGGTTGGGGTTATTTTCCATTCTTTGAGAATAGTCTAGGAGGAGCTAGAGAGCAACTGCAGATGAGAAATTTCTTCCAATAAAGAAGTAATTTTACTGTAGGTATTTTTTAGTACTCTTCTCAGTAAACTAGTTTAACATAGAACAAATGGCAAGTGAGATGCATACAACTACATGTAGTTGTTAAAATAGTCTAAGAAAGATTAATGGCAGTATATAGTTGTTTTTATTTGCTTCATTTATACCCATATTAATAAATACACGGGCCAGAAGGAAAATGATCACATTGTATAACTCTGTGGTTAACATGAGTTATGAAATTCCATCCATTTCATTCCTGCATCAACCTATTAATATTTCCTGAAGTGACAGTGTAGGTGAGAAATGCTAAACAGAGTTGACCTGATTTATGTTTTGGAGAAAAAGACAGATTTTCTGACATATGTTTGCTTATTCTAGTATTAAAAACAGTAATTGTAAGCTGTAAGTGTCTTAAACAGACGTGCATCTGGCTTCTCAAAATAAGTGACTTGAAAACTGCAAAGTTGATCTAGTGTACTTTATTTTCACTGCCTTGAGGCACTGAATCTTTTTGAGAGACTGTTGGATGAAAATGTCAAGTCTTTTACAAGAAGTAATTATTCGACAAGCTTGATACAATCATAGAGGCTGTAATGTTATATGTTTGGCTGCACAAGGATTTTGCCTTTATTCTGTCTTGCTCAGTCAATTTTTAACATTCTTTTTTGATAGCAAGTGTAGACTGCACACCTGCTGTCACTGAATCGGATACAAACCCGAAGGTTTAGAAAAATCATTCTAGATTACAGTTTTTGTTACTACTTGTTTATATACAATTGTAGACTAAGGGTCTACAGTGTAGTCAGACATATAATAATGGTGTAGCTTTAGGAGCTCTTAAAATCATTGAGGAAATTTTCTTGAGTAGTTTTGTTAAAAAAAAAAAAAAAATTATATTCTCTGAATAGTGAGGAGTATGGTTTTTATTGTCTCTGTCTAAAAACTGCTTTCCTGTCTAGGATATGAATCACATGTTGAGACAAAAAAAAAATTATGTGGGGGTTGTGGCATACAAGTTGGTGAAATAGATGACAGGGGAAATACCCATTGGCTCTCTGATTTTGGACCATTCATTCTACTGAAAAGCATAAATACCATGATACCTGCGTCAGTTAGTTACTACTGCATATTGTCTAATTAAGAATAAAATCTTATTATGCCCTGATATTTTATGTTAAAGTTATTCAATTATAATGGGCATACCAAAAAAGTGCTGCTATTCTTCCCCAGCTCGGTCCCATTTTTTTATTCTGTGTACAGTCTTCAAGGTGGTGGTAAATAGTCTGTTGTGTTCCATAGCTATTAACATTTTAATGAGAAATTAGCTCTTGCATTTACTCTGCCAGTGATGTCACATTTCACAGTTTGTTGCTACACCTTAAAACACACACCTTTTTAAATTCAGTCTGAACTTTTCCTTACATGTTCATTGCAGCCTTCCTTGCTGACTAATGTTTGACTCCTGGTTTACCTGTAGAAGCCATGCTGGGACTCGGGTATTCTTTAGTCTTTACTGCATACATTTAAGTCCACAGAAACATAGATTTTTGCTTACTTTTTTTAGAAAGTACAAATGAAGTCTAATTTTAAATCCAGTGGTTTGAAATGCGTAATAAATGAGATGTTGTTTTTCAGGGGGACAGTAAAAAAATGGAGGATGCTAGTGCTTATTTGACACTACCTTCTACACGTCAACACATAGAAAACAAAGGAGCAACCACAGTCAGAAACCTGAGTATTGTAGGGGGGCTTTCAGTAAGCTCACGAGATGCGTTTTATATTTCAACTCTTGTTTGTTCTACAAAGCTAACTCAGAATGGTATGTATCTTCTAACATGTGGCATTTATAAAAAGAAGACATTTGCAGAAATGATAAATCATACTTTAAATTTTTATGTCTGTTCATTTATTTTTTATTAGTGGGCTTACTAGGTCTCTTGAAGTGGCGTATGAAGCCAGAGCTACTTCAGGAAAACCTGGAAAAACTGAAGATTGTGGATGGAGAGGAAGTTGTGAAGGTATATCTTTATATAGTTATTCTACTAATAGTTTTCCTTCATGTCCTTTCATACCATGGCAGAAAAGAGCACTACATACTTTCAAAGAGGAAAAAGAAACTGGAGGGTCAGTTACAGTGAACATAGAAACTTAAAGAAGCCTGCCAGTTACTTTTTTTTTCTGAGTGTTATTCAGTTTGTTAGGGGCAGTTTGCAAAAGACATGAGCAAAGCTGTTCGTTATAAGGAGCAAGGAAACAAGCGCCTGGACAGGCTTCTTTGTAGTGTTAACCATCATTTTTCCACTTGTCGCTTCTGAACATCTCTGCTATTGGCTACTATTAGACTGTGGAGATTTGCAAGATTACTAGTCAAATCTGCCTACTTTCACTGGTAGTAAATTTACTAGGGTTCTTTTCAGCTTTCTGTTTTTATATTTTGCTGTTAATTTTGTTTATGAATAGATAAATCAATATCTAGAATATTTTTTGGAATCTTTGCTGATTTGTTCGGGTGCTTATGTATATCATAAAGTTAAAGAATAACTTCTGTTGGAAAAAAACCTTTAAGATTACCAAGTCCAACCATTAACCTATCACCACCAAGTCCACCATTAAATCATGTCCCTAAGCACCTTATCTACACGTCTTTTAAATACCCCAGGAATGGTGACTCCACTACCTCCACAGTTTAGCAATCCTTTCAGGGAACAAATTTTTCCTAATATCCAACCTGCACTTCCCCTGGTGCAACTTGGAGCTGTTTCCTCTTGTCCTATTGCTCATTATTTGGAGAAGAGACTGACCCCCACCTTGCTCCAACCTCCTTTCAGGTAGTTGTTGACAGTGATAAGGTCTCCCATCTGGCAGGTAAACTTCTCACCTGAGATAGGGTAAACAGACAGGTAAGTTTCTTCCCTGTCTCCCCAAGACAGCTAAATTTATGTCACAGGTAAACTTTAATTTTAAGCATGCACAAAAAAAAATATTTAAAAAAGTGATAGGATATGAAAGCAGTGATAGCAAAATGTTTTTCACAATCTTTGTTCAACTGCTAGCTTTGGTGTACTGAAACATCACAAACAATTCCTACTGCTTTCTTTACAGTTAATAATATTAGTTTAGATGTTAACACTAAAAAAAAACCCTGTGTATTTTGTACCAAATGAAGTGCTTTGCTAATTTAACGACTATAATATGAATAAAAGCTTCTTAGTATTTTATAAAGTGGCAGATACTATTACATCTGTGTTACTCTTTAAATATAAGCATTAGATGCCTCTCTGGAGACAAGGAGGTTGAACTTAAAGAAATTTTATTTTTTTTAAACCAAAGATTTGGGTCCTGAGTCACTGGGGAAGTTCCCTTTGATTTAAAATGGGCTTTGAACGAGATCTCAGAAATGTGAAGAGTGCTTTTAATATGTGTATGTGAAGATAGCAGCTATTATCTGTATCACTAAGGAACTAGGAATGCAGTCTTAGATAGTTATCTTGTTTTTATAATATTTTTAGTTTTTCCATAAGCTTTGAGCTAAACACGTATTATTCATTGCTCACATTTGAGGATGTAGGTTCTTAAACTAAAGGAAGTAAATCTTTGGAAATGTTTTCTGAATTTAAGTGATGTTTCAGTGAAGGTCTTGAGAGTTCTAACATGAGAGGAACCAAGTCCGCTATCTGAAAACAGACTTGTGAGATTTTCAGGTTGAATTGGTTGCCGATTTGTTGTTTCATGTTGTTTAATAGTTTCTCCAAGATACGCTGGATGCCCTCTTTAACATCATGATGGAACATTCCCACAGTAATGAGTATGACATCCTTGTCTTTGATGCACTGGTAAGAATCAGCACAGAAGCATTCTCTTTGTCAAAGAGAAGAACTCTGTAATTTTGAATGAGCTGACAAGTTGTTTATCTCAGGGAATTAGTCTTAAAATCTCTGCAGAACAGATGTAATATTAATGTTTAACTGAAAAGTAAGTTTCTTTTAAAATTGTTAAATAGTGGATTATCAAAAATATTTCAGCAGATTAATACTGAAATTTAAAATGTGATTTTATGAAAAATGTTGATGATGTCCATGTCTGTTTAGATCTATATCATAGGACTCATTGCTGACCGTAAGTTTCAACACTTCAACACCGTTTTGGAAGCGTATATCCAACAACATTTTAGTGCAACATTGGCATACAAGTAAGTTTCTTTTCTTTTTTTTTTTTCTCCTAAATCTCTACCATTGCATTGAAGAAAGTAAATCGTGATTGTAACTTTACTGTAATTAATGATAACTGTTGTATTGATGCTGCTGTTTGCTTACCTGGAAATAAACTTGTCTGTGAGAGACAGATACGATTATAAGTAGAGTTGAAAAAGAGTAAATTATTCTTTGACATTCATTTTGTCTTGTTTAAATTTTGCTGTGTCTGAACTCTTCATCTGTATCCTGTCAAATTTGTCAAAAGGTACTTTGCTGTACAACCACTTCTGTTACATTCCTGGCCTTAACCTGAAATGCCCTAAGTGAGGGTTGAGGATGTTCTTAACCCATTTATAAATTTATTTTATTTATATATTTATTGTAGAGCTAACATCCTCATGGGGGGAAAAACTTGTCTGGGAACTGTCAAGTCTTCATATGCAGTTCAGTTTTTTGCACCAGGAGGGTTTCAGTGCAGTGAACTGGAATTTTGATAGTTGTTCTGTGATCTGCTGTCTTAGTACTTGCTACATGATCATGGTAGTGGGCAGGTGGACAAACATTTGGTGTTTCTTATATTTTTGGAGCTGCCAGATGGGAAGCCATGGATTCATAGAAGAGAATAAAAACTCTGGAGACATGTTAAACAGTGAATTTAATAGTAGATTCTTAATTTATTTAAAAAAGGTTTTTGCAGATGATGGTGGGATAACGTCTTCAGTTAGTGCTGCTCATAGGGAGGTGCTTTAACAGGATAGATGTATTCTTTTCATCTACCTGAAGTCTTGTCCTGGCAGCTTAATGGGGTGGCAGATTGAAGCAGAACTTTAAGTTAGGATATGAATAATAGATGGAAGACATTAGCTCAAGGCTTGGGATAGCTGAGGGTGTCTTGTACTGTCCCGTGCCAGATTTGCACCAGTGCCAGCTCAACAGGACATGTCATGCAGATCGCACATCAGCACATGAGTTTGGTAGAATGGAAAGGCAGTAGCCCTCCTACAGTCCTTTCTCGCATTCTTGGAAAGTTGAAATTAGTATTATTTGGCTAAAAAAGCTCAATCACTAGCTACATACTCCTCTTTAATCCTCCTTCACTCCACATGTGATAAGCACATGCAATTTAATGCTTTATATTATTGTGAAAGAAGAGAAGGTTGGGTATGGAACCTGTCAGGAGAGCCTTATTTGCTTAAAATATTTCCAAAACTTACCTGACTGCTATTTTCTGATGATTTAATCAAAGTGGCAGAGGCAAAATAATGATTGATTGCTCTCCAAATCCTCACTTCTTGACATTGTTAATTCCATGCCCATCATGGAAGATGTGCTCTCTTGGAAGAATCATTTATGAAATAAATGACTGGATATGGCCTAATAGGTAGGAAGGAGATTCTGTGTCCCAGACATATTATGACCATATTCTGATATGATATTTTGGCCAGTGTTAGGTATTTCTTTACTTCCTATTTAGTCTTCTATTTGTACTTAGCTTTTATGGAGTTATCAGAGGACTTGACAATTGACAGTTAAGGGATGCTGAGTGCCCTGCCCCTGCAGACAAGTTGGGTAAATTTTGTTCCAAATCGGTACAAAGCTGTGAATTTAGAGAAGCTATAAAAAGGAGTGAATGGAAACACTCAATGGATGTAGTGCCCAGAAGGCTGAGAGGCTGAAAGCACAATAATTTGGTCCTGAAATATAATTTAGGGTACTGCAGTGGCGCTGAGGATGTCTCAGTGAGTTAAACAGTTAGGGAGATAGATATCTATGCACACACCTGTGTGTATATATCTCTATTCTGTACAGTAGCAAGAAATTCTTGGAGCTATTATTTGCATGCAGGTATGTTCTAAATGTAGTTGTAATTGCTTACTAATGTTTCATCAGTCCAGTTGTTGAGCTGTTAAATTTCATCAACATGCAAGTGCTAATTTGAGTTTTGTTGTGCTGGGTAGTTGGATTTGTTTGTTTAGGATAGGGGATAGTAGGTTTTCATTTTTTGGAGTGATATAAGTAAAAATACCCAAGCACTATCATTATTTTAGTTGTTTTTATGGCTACATTAAAATCAAAATTCCATCATTAATCTTAGTTTAATCATTTAAGATGAAACTCTCACTATAAATTAAGGGGCTAACTTGTAGATGAGCTTTTGTGGTTTTTTAGTGGGTTGTGTGTTTAACAAAAAATTGCCTTTGGATCCAAAGCAAGGGAGTGTTTTAACAAAACTGATACTTAGAGCATATACTGATGTGTACCAGAATATGGTGCTTTTTACGTGCAGTTAATTTAAAGCATGTAGTGATGTTTAATCGCTGCTTAGTGTGGGTAGGCAGAAGTAATGTTGTGCTTTACCTTGTGCACGTATTTTATAAACTTCTGTAAAAGTGCTTCCAAGGCTTTTTAAAGTTATGCTGCTGCTTTCTTGCTTGCATAGTGAAGAATTTGCTCCTCATTTTTTTATATTGGTAGAATTTGTGCACCATAAATGCAAAAGTACGTGCAGTACATTTTGTCATGCATGCTTGACTAAGCATAAACATTTATTTAGAGTAGTCAAACAAATTGGAGAAGTTAATTTTTTAAAAAACTTTCTAAAATGTTTTCTTAACTTCAGGAAATTAATGACTGTTCTGAAGACTTACTTGGATACTTCCAGCCGAGGAGAGCAATGTGAACCAATCTTAAGAACTCTGAAAGCACTGGAGTATGTTTTCAAGTTCATTGTTAGATCAAGGACATTGTTTTCACAGTAAGTATCCAGGCTATTGCCATTTAACTAGCAGTCCAGTATCAGAAATCTAAGTAGACCTGAGAATCAGAAAATAACTGTTCCAGAACAGAACTGTATGTTTTCTTTTTACAAATAAAATACAAATGCTGGCAACAAGCCTAAAACACAGGTGCTGCTGGGATCTTTCTTGGAGAATCTTCAGAAATCTCCTTTCTGATACAGTATAAGTTCCAGAGATACATTAGGAAAAGCAGCTGATTGCAAAAGGTCATCATACTTTGCATCAGGTGGCTTCCCCTCAGACTATTGGATGGCCAAATATTGTGGCAGACGGCTTGAAGCTGGATGCTTGTCCTTGGGATCATGGCATTGAGCTGCTCAAACTGTGCAAAGAACAATGTAATTTTCGGTAGACATGGTCCAACTGATTTTAGAGTTTCAGATCTCTGGGTAAGCAATTGGTAGGAATTTGTCTCCAGTTACAGAATTTACAGGACTTGGGTAGTTGAGCCAAACAGATGAGGTGTAATATTTACAAGTAGTATTCAGGTTTAGGGAAAAGGGAGATGGGAAGAATGAAGGAGATGAAAGCTGGAAGTAGAAACACTATGCTACTGTAACTGTGTCCACCACTTCCTCCTCTAGCCTTTAAGAACTCTCAGTATATCTCACAGACCTCATCTACATCCTCTCTTTTCTCTCTTCTTTTCTGCTTCATCTTTTTCTGTTTATCCTTAGCTCATTTCCCCTTGGTGCTTGTTCTGTTGTCCCTCTGCTGTGTGGCTGAAGGAACGTGGTGGCAGAAAGCAGGCGGTGGCAACTGCAGCAGTGCAAGTGGACCAATTGGTTGGATGTTATGTTTGTGGCTGACAGCCAACAGAACAGAAAATGTTCTGTCTTCTGCTCAGTGGAAGCTCTAGTAGACTTTTTCTCTGTTATTCCACTGCCTGTCTTTAAACCTACATGAGTTTATTTTTTTATGGTTTGGTGAAATGAAGGATGTTTGAATTCTGAAACTTTGGCTGAAGTAGGAATAGATTCAGAAGTTATTCACTGCTGATAGACAGTACCTTGGAAATATTCATGTCTCTAGGAACTTACTACTTATAGATGGATACAGATAAACAAGGTGAAGAACTATGTAAGGAATGAGACGATGCTCCTGAGAACAGAATATAGTGCCAGTAGTGTGAAAACTTTATTTGAAAACTTTGGTCTCCATGTAATTGCCAATATTAGCTGGCAGCCAAAAGTGTACGTTAGACAGTCTGTGGTAAACTGGGTTATTGCAATATGTTGCATATTCAAGGGACTAGTTATACCTATCTACTCCTTTTTGTTTTCTCTCTCGATGCCTTAACTGGACATCTGAAATTCAGTTGGACAGTTACTAGTATAGGCAGTAATACCTCTTGTAAACAGCAGCCTCTGGTAAAAATAAGGCAGCAGCAAAGAGTATCACCTGATAGTGTATATCCACCTACAGCTGTTAGAATCTGATTTCCAGCAGTCACTGTCCTGTTGTTAGGCTGGTCATGAAAAAGAAGAAAATATGGAGAAAGATGGATCTGTGGATTTTCTTTCTATGAGAAAAGAGAATTTATGACTGAAACACTAGCAAGGGTTGAAATTAGCCTTCTTGGAGAAAAACATTTTGAATTAATAGAGCTGAGACAGATTATTAGATAATTCTCTCATTAATTTGATGGGCTGCTTAAGAAACTAAGATGCCTTGTTGAAAAGTAAGAGACATTACGACGTGAAAACTGTGTCGGAAAGAGATGAAGAATGTCTTCTAATATTACATATAAAATAGGGGACTTTTTTATCTCGTTGTCAGGCAGATATATTGAAGATAACCAAGTTTTAATTGAATTTGCATTAATTTAATCCTGTTGATACTGTAGAGTTGTAATGAAAGCAAGCATTTTTTACTCCAATTGGCTGAACTAAGGTCATGTCCTGCAGCTGTTTGTTCAGTGACTATGTTTTGTGGAAAGGTCATATGTATGAGCCAAAGTTTTATATAACACAGACTCTGAAAACATGAAATGTTTGCTTTCCTCTTTCATTTGCCTAAGGTTGTTTTTGGTTGTGAAATTTATGTACTCTGCTGTAATGAAGTTATTTCCAAGTAAACAATCAGTCATCTTTCAAAATTTGCTTTCAGAACAAGTGATTTTAATTGGTACTTCACATAGAAAATCGTGTCCAGGTGGAAGCTAAGTCATGACTAAGGAAATAGAAATATCTTTCTACCTGTCTTACATTAGCCCTAGTGTAAAATTAAAAAGCATATTTAATACATGTGGTGTGATGCTTGACAGGTTGAGTCAAAAACATTCCTATTTCCACTTGCCCCAAAAAAAGAGGTTTGAAGAAACTTAATTTACTTTTGCAGTAATGTTGTTTAGTCAATAAAAGAAGTAGCATAACATGAGCCTAGTAACTTGAATAAACACTTAGGCAGTCGCATTATTAGAACTTAGATGTACTTCACTCCTGTAGAAAAAGAATTTTATATAGCCCTCACATGCCAAAATCTCCAGTATGTTTTAAAAACTCATTTAACTAAAGCCTAAGCTTCTAAAATACTATTTGATATTAACTAAGTTTAGTTTTCTATGCAAGTGTGCTTGTATTGCAACTTGTATTTCAGCATGCCTTTCATGTCTTTTGCTGGCATGTATTTACTAATACAGATATTACACCTCAGTAGGGGTGGATCTCAAGTACTTTGCATCATGTATGTTATAGCCACGTACATATAATTTTTTTTTCTCTCCAGATAATATTTTGGATCTTGCAGTTACTTTCCAGTAACTGACTTAAATGTCATTGACAAGCATTGATCCTGAGCAATGCAGAGGCCATGGGCCTGAACAGTGTTCCTCTCGGTGTCTTCCTTGACCTAAAACTTCTTGCCAGTCACTGTATGAATAGCAGTTTTGATTTTTTTATTGCTGTAGACAAAAACTCTTAATTTATCTTTCATTCTCCTAGGGACTTAAGTTTCAAGTTGAAATCACATGATACTGGAATCTTGAAAAAGAGGGATTTTTCCTGCTAGTAGAGAAGGCAGTATGTCAGAGGTGCAGCTTTTGGATTGCAGTATCTTACACACATTTCAGGCTTCTCTTGTCAACTTGGCTTTTTTCTTAGCTTGTTTTTCTTCCAGTTTTGACAGCTCTTTAACATGTCACCAGTGTTTTTTATTGCCTAGGTAAGCAACATTTATTATTAGTAGCTAGTATGAACAACAGAGGAGAGTGAGTCTGAAAGATTCAACCTTCAGGATAGGGAATGAAGAAATAATGGAGTGAGCTTGATTTAAATGCACTTTTCAACTTTTAAACATTAAGTAGAGACTTTTTTCAAAAGTGGCCACAACAGCAGAGGAAAGAAACTGTGACAATATGTGAAAAATATCCTGCAGTAGCTCAGTTGTAAAAATAACCAAGAGTAGCTCAGCTGTAGTAAGGGAAAAATTGCTCATAAGTCACTTTGAAAGCGAAATGACTTTTTTATAAGCTGAAATCTGGGACGTGTCATTCTTGAGATGTTTTTAAAAAAATGGAAAATTCATATGTTGAGTTTAAGCTGAAGAATTTCTACACAGTACAGTGAATAGCAGATAAAACCCATTGGTGAAATATCTATGTGCATAATATTCAATCACCTTATAAAATATGTTTTTAAGGTAATGTTAAATCTGGTACGTTAGAACTACGAAGTATTCTGATTCTAGAAAGATAACCCAGTACATCTCTCAACAGATTATATGAAGGCAAAGAACAAACAGAATTTGAAGAATCCATGAGGAGACTCTTTGAATCCATCAACAACCTGATGAAAAGCCAACATAAAACTGCCATTTTGTTGCAGGTTGGTGCATTCATGGAAACAAGCTGGGTTTGTTTTGTGTATATGTTTTTGCTTTGTGGGCTTTTCAGGTTTGTTCTTTGTAAACTGAGGAAAAGACACTTGTAGGAAATACATCCTTTGCATCTCTTCTGTAATTCCCCCTCACTGAAAAAAAAAAAAAAAAAAAATTGTCTATTAATAATGATTGAAGCCTAGGTTGAAGAGGTCAGGAAAATATATGTTTGTATAATTTTATGAATGGAGTGACTGAAAGAGACAAAACACAGGTGCTGGAATCTTTCAAATTTACTCAAGTGAAACCTCCAGTGGAAGCTGAAAGTTTCATTCCTTAGTTTCTTCAGATAATAACAGGAATTCCACCATCTTTGGAAAGTAAATTTTATAGTATCAGCGTTTTGGAGGTATGTTGTTTAGACAACGGGAAATAGGATCAAGGTATTCCATTCATATCAATCTTTGTTATTCTAACTCTTTGGCATCTGATGTTTTAAGACAAATGAAGTAGCTATTAAGATCATTAATATAAAATAATTGGTATGTAGATCTGTATTAAAATAAAAAACTATAATGGTTTCCTATAAAGTAGGAGGCAGAAGATTTAATTGGACAAATGCCAAAACTGATGCTTGGTACACCATTTCTTATGAACTCATTGTCTTTATTTGGCTTAATTCGCCCACCCCGCCCCATTTTTGTCTTGTTATTCCTCTCTGCAATGACCTATACTAGAAGTGGAAGCCAGTGAAAAAGTCTGTCTTGAATAAATCCTCAGGTGGCTCATCTTGAGATTTCAATTATGTGGCAGAGCATGAAGTGCTAATGTGCAACAGCTAAAGAGATAAAATAAAGAATATTTGAACAGCATAATACCATGATGATAGTAATATTCTAAATGCATTTGAAAATCATTCAAATACTCTGTTGACATTTCTATAAAGGCCTTCTTGGAAATAGTTGATAAATTTGAAAGTCTCTGCATCAGAAGCAGAGGAAACCTAGGAAGAAAAGAAATCTTTACTATTAAGTAATATTTAAAGAGAAAATTGATATAATAATGTTTGTTCTTGTGGTACTTAGTACTAATATGTTAATTAACGAATAGAACTTGGAGGCTTCTACGCCCTTCAGGACAGATATGTCATGTCACTGCATGATTCCTTGCCTTAATCTCAAAATTGTTGTGTGGGATCATCCTTATGTGTTTCCACTAATGAGCAGGGTAGTCCTGTAATTGACAAGAAATGGTTGGGGAAGGCAGGTTTGCTGGCTTAGCTGTTGCTGGGACACACTAATGGGTTAGCAAGCAGCAATGCTGACTGCAGCAGCTGATGAGTGTGTTGGAAAAGAGATGGTGTGGTAACATTCATGGCAGTGTGGCACTGGATGTACTGACCAATCCTGATTGTGCTTACTGTGATTCCCCTATTTCCATATTTAGTGCTAGTTCTTAATATTACACCTGTTCAGCAAAAAGTATAGTGTATATTTGCTGATGACCTTAAGAAGTAGCACAACATTGAAAATAAAACTGCACATCTCTTAGGACTAAACAAAAGAAGTGTATGCTAATTTTAATGAACATGTGAACATGTTTCCAAGATAAACTTGCTATTTAAGTTATGCTTTGCTCAATGCCATCTTAAACATAAATATTTTGGTTTTCTAATGAGTGCTGTCACTTGTGAAAAATTGATCATGTTTATTCATAACTTCTTATTTAAGAGCACTAGTGGGCTCTTAAATATCTAATTCTGCAGCAGCTACTGGAAGTTTTCCTTTTGGCTGACACATTTCATGGCAGATTTGAGACACTGGTTTATGTCATAACTTGTACTGTTGTCTGCACTACTGCTAATTCATACAAATGTGTTTCTGGGAGTAATGTATAAAGAGGTTGCTTTACATAGAGTAAATAAGAACTCATGCATTAATGTTATAAGATCCTAGAAGGAGAAGCATGTAATGGGAAATGTCCCACCACACTTCAGTTCCTGCTGTTCAAATTAAGTTTACTGGGGATGAGGATTAACCCATTAACTCCATCACAAACTGCATGAGCAGATCAGTGATAGTAGCTTTCACAATAGGCAGTGTGTTTTTCTGTGCCTGTTGGAAGGAGACTTCTGTTATGATACTTGTGACTCCTGCTCTGGTAGGTGGATAAGAGTGGTCTGGAAAAGGCCAGAAAAATTGACATAATTCTGCATCAGGTGAGATGGAGCAGAAAGGGGGAGAAACATATTCATAAGTCATCCTCTCTGTCTAAAGCTAACACAAATTTCCCTCCCCATAACCCCCTTTATTTAACTTTGGGATGGCAATGGTAGATGGTGTTGTAGCATGAAGTTAATTTTGCAGGGTAAGGGACAGGTGGTAATTCAGAGATATTGCTAACACACAGAGTTCCAGACATCTTATAGTTGGCACACTCAGAGGGGAAAGTTCATGGAGTCTCTTGGAAGCATAAATAAATCACCAGACTATTAAAACGTACTTAAATCTGTCCCGTTTGAAATTATCGCTGATATGAATTGAAGTGGAACATAGACTGGTAGGATCAATTGAAAGAGTTCAAGTGCATTAGAATCATAGAATCATA